AGCTACGGGGAACTGTGCAAAAAATATATCTTCGCACCGGCAGTTGGCGCATTGGCCAATCGTTTCTTTTTTAATCAGTATAAGGTCTGTTTGCTGAAGAATTATTTATTCATAAAGTGGCAGTACAAAGTGAGCCAAAACGATGTGGCGAACTGGCACCACTGGAGGTGACGGAGAGGGTTGCGAAAGAGAGCGATCATGCATTTTTGTGACTAGTTCATTCAAACACACGGGGATGGATGCTCAAATACATGAAAAATGCACTAAGAGCTATAATAATGATGATCTGCAATCCATAGGTAAATCATTAGGAACTGGATTTTGTAAACTGTCTAGTTCCCCAATTGCTGAGACCACAGCTTAAGACGGTGGTTGAATCAAATACAGATAGCAAATTCTTTGCCTCAGTTGGAAATTAAACACTCAAAAATTCCATTCGACATTGTGCTCCTCTTACAGAAATGTGATCAACCCGTATTTGAACCGCGAGGCCATAACAAAGTATACCAATTCTATAATTTTACTAAGTGACCGCTATTAAGCAGAAAGTAACTGGTATAAGTGAAGTGCTCACCGATCTTGAAGTTTTTTACATTTTTGCCCATTTCGACGACATATCCGGATCCCTCATGGCCAAGCACATAGGGTTGTGTAATTTTAAATGGTCCAATAGCGAAATGCTTGAAGAAGTGGATGTCGGTGCCACAGATCCCAACACTGTCCATCTTGATTAGCAGTTGGTCGTCGCCGGGTTTTGGGATCTCACGTTCCTCGAAACGTAGATCCTTGGCAGCGTGAAGTACGGAGCAGAGATTTTTACCGGATGCGTAGCTGCGAACATTGTGATTTAGTAGCTGGACTATGCCTAAAACGCAGCTGAACTGCATTTATCGCTGAGAAAGAACTTTAGTGGAAAAGACAGAAACGTGTTTATCTCAAAATCAGGATAATTCTTGGAGGACACCCGATTCAAAGGCCAACCTCTTTTAAAGAGAGCCATTTTTATCCTTTTTGTAGTTGTTCCTTGCTGCTTTACTGAAGTCTGGCCCTTTTAATCGTTCGTCAAATAAGTTAAGTGTGTTAAGTCTGTTCGTAGTCAGTAGGATCAGTTAGTGACGATTTATCGTATACTCGGTTAATGAGAGTCCAATACTGCACTGAACACAGTAGTGGCTTTTCGCGCTTTCTTGTTGGGAGCGTCCTTATGTACGGTGTGTCGCTGTCTGATAAGTATTTCGATGTTCCAAACGTACAGTGCGTTCGTTACTTTGTTGTTAGCCAAGAAGAATGGTGAGTGCTGAAAAAATAATTAAGGCTCCTTGTTACTGATGCAGATAAATTGTATTTATTATCAGAGAATGAGCAGGGGCGAACGCCGATCATGGGAATATTGATGATAACGAACCAGTCAGTAGTTTACCGCTTTTGCTCCCTACTAGGCTAGACAC